AAAAAAAAAAACTATGCATTTGCCTTGCGGCGATTGAGCTCTTCAGCTGTCCATTCATTGTTTATGACGCCTAGTAGTATAGACTCTTCGGTCGATTGGCGAAAAATAGGCGCTAGATGCCTTTTAGTCGCGTATATCAGTCATCAGTGTGATACGAGACGTATACAGCATCACCACCGATGCTTATCAAGCATTGACCCTGGAAGGTGTTATGACAAAATCGTAAAAGTGAAAGTATGGAATAGTTAAGCAAATTAAAAATTAATTATATACTTGATTCTTATGCTGATTATCGACCAAAATCAATTCACTCATATAGAAGGAAACCATAGCATTACCGCCCAGAGCTGAAATATGCGCACGGACCACCGCCAACAGCTGAAAGAAAGCAATTGGTTAATTTAATAAAAATTGCAAGTTAAAATATGATGAAGAAATTAAATGAATTGTAAAAGCAGCATATAACACTGACTTTAGAAATACATACATACATACATATTTCAAAAGTAAACTCACCTCGGTTATAAATGAGTGCACAAAACCACTAATGCCACCGGTTTCACGTATCGAAGTCGTTTCGCGTATAAAGAAGANTTAAGGCATTTCTACATTGTCTCTATCGCATGTTGTTCCTATGACATACATGTTATTAGGTACATGCAACAAGTAGCAAAGATGGCCAAGTGCAAAAGGCTGTAAAAAGCGTGCGAGTTTAAGGAAAAAATCTTACAATTATTGAATACAGTAGTTTCGNAAGGCTGTAAAAAGCGTGCGAGTTTAAGGAAAAAATCTTACAATTATTGACTTCGACTTCGACTTATAGACTTCGATTTCATTAACAGTTTCATTTAAAAAAAAAAACTATGCATTTGCCTTGCGGCGATTGAGCTCTTCAGCTGTCCATTCATTGTTTATGACGCCTAGTAGTATAGACTCTTCGGTCGATTGGCGAAAAATAGGCGCTAGATGCCTTTTAGTCGCGTATATCAGTCATCAGTGTGATACGAGACGTATACAGCATCACCACCGATGCTTATCAAGCATTGACCCTGGAAGATGTTATGACAAAATCGTAAAAGTGAAAGTATGGAATAGTTAAGCAAATTAAAAATTAATTATATACTTGATTCTTATGCTGATTATCGACCAAAATCAATTCACTCATATAGAAGGAAACCATAGCATTACCGCCCAGAGCTGAAATATGCGCACGGACCACCGCCAACAGCTTAAAGAAAGCAATTGGTTAATTTAATAAAAATTGCAAGTTAAAATATGATGAAGAAATTAAATGAATTGTAAAAGCAGCATATAACACTGACTTTAGAAATACATACATACATACATATTTCAAAAGTAAACTCACCTCGGTTATAAATGAGTGCACAAAACCACTAATGCCACCGGTTTCACGTATCGAAGTCGTTTCGCGTATAAAGAAGAAATTCAAATTGCCCAAATATTTATCAATGCGACCACCTGGTATAAAACTAAGCGGTGTAATATCAACGCCATAACGATCTCGGAGAGGGAACTGCATAAATTAGAGTAGTAATTAAAAAAATATTTGATCACTTACACTACTTGTATGTATGAATATGCATATTTACGCNCAAGCATTGACCCTGGAAGGTGTTATGACAAAATCGTAAAAGTGAAAGTATGGAATAGTTAAGCAAATTAAAAATTAATTATATACTTGATTCTTATGCTGATTATCGACCAAAATCAATTCACTCATATAGAAGGAAACCATAGCATTACCGCCCAGAGCTGAAATATGCGCACGGACCACCGCCAACAGCTTAAAGAAAGCAATTGGTTAATTTAATAAAAATTGCAAGTTAAAATATGATGAAGAAATTAAATGAATTGTAAAAGCAGCATATAACACTGACTTTAGAAATACATACATACATACATATTTCAAAAGTAAACTCACCTCGGTTATAAATGAGTGCACAAAACCACTAATGCCACCGGTTTCACGTATCGAAGTCGTTTCGCGTATAAAGAAGAAATTCAAATTGCCCAAATATTTATCAATGCGACCACCTGGTATAAAACTGAGCGGTGTAATATCAACGCCATAACGATCGCGGAGAGGGAACTGCATAAATTAGAGTAGTAATTAAAAAAATATTTGATCACTTACACTACTTGTATATATATGTACATACATAGTAATTGCGATTAATTGCACTTGCTTTTTTGCTATGCTGTCGAGATGGTGATGTTTTCGCCAACTTGAAGCTATTTAAGCCATACGGTGGCAAATTTGATGTGGGTGTTGGCGTCTCGACCATTTGATCCTCGTCGAGTGGAAAAATGTAGTCTTCTTCTTGCAGCGTACGTTTATTGCCAGCTGTAAGACCATTCGTATCAGGCGTATCGGTGTTTGCGCCGTTCGTTATGCCCGTAGCAGCTGCTGGCTTGCGACGATATTTAAATTTATTTGCATCGCCTAGACCGAGTGCCATGCCAGTGACTAGTAATTGTATTTGATCCTGGAATTTTAAGTTAAAGAGGAATTAAAAAGAAACTGAGGGAGAAACATACATATGTAGAAATTTATACCAGAATATGTACTTACACTCTCCGGCAGGTCGAGTCGAAATCTTAGATCGCAAATCGCACAGGGTATCATGGTGCGCAATTTAAAGTAAATCGTCTGCAAAAGTCTGTAAGTAAGAAAAATTGTTTTTCAGCATTGCGAACAAAGAGCTATAAAAAGCGGATTGGGGATATTTTTGCGACTAGAACCCAATGAAGAATAAAGTAATCAAAAGTAAGTAAGTAGACACAAAATGAATTTTAGGGGCTAGGTTAGGTTATCCCAAAATGAGGCACACTTGGATCCTAAGCATCAATCCTTTGTGATACCACTACAAACGGCAAGTGCTTAACTAAAACAAAAACCACTGCGTCTAGCCGGCAGATGACATTCCTTGAGAGCTTCTTATATCTGGTCAAGAACTGATATTTCATCAGAATTCCATAAAAACTCTTTGATGAATTTATAGGATATTATAACAACAACAGGCGGTGTGTTTTTCAATAGAAGTTCGCTGTATTGTACCAATCGTGTGGCTACAAAAAAATGACGTCCCAATTTTTTTATTTTGTACCAATGGCACAATATAAAAAATATACAAATCTGTACAAGTGTACATACCAATCGTGTGAAACTGCCTTTAACATTTCTTATGCCGAATTTCCAACAGGAATTAAATGGCAAATTTGGGTCTTATAAAATAATCGTGTCATTACGTTCACGTTTTAAATCACACAAATTTTTTGGCATAACACCGAATTTCCACAAGGCATTGAGTTGACAAAAAAAAATTTTCATTTAAAAAATGCCTTAACGCGAGTATTTTTTAATGCCAATATTTGCCATTAAAATTGTTGCCATTTAATGCCCAGTGGAAATGCGGCATTAGGCTTAACTTTAAAATTTTAAAACCGACAAACCATTTTTTGGTCATAGGTTAGGTTTCTTTGATAAAAGCATACAAAATTTATCAGCGCCAAGTTTTGCACCGAAGCTTTTGGGTTTTGATCCTATTTTGAGCAAGAAATACAAAATGATTAAAAAAGTGTGCCTCTTCTCGAAAATTGCGTAAATTAATTAAAAATCAGATTAAATCTTCTGCGCATACTCACCGCTGAAAATGTTTGGGAAATCCATTAATATTTTGATTGACATCCAATTTGGCGCGCCATACCTGCGTAAACATCTGCACATTCTTCACCGCCTCTATGTCCAACATGCCGGGCACACTTTGCGTGTTAACCACGTGGAAACCCTCTGGGGGATAGGTTTCCATGAGCAACGAAATAATTTCTAAATCCTCAATATCATCCACCTCCAACACGCACGTATCTTTATTGCCACAATTCAAATCGATTTCAATAACCTCATCATCCGATTCATCCGTATCCGATTGCTTGTCCAATGTCGCACTACCGCTGCTACCTATCAAATCAGGATCGATACATTTGAGCTGATAAACTTCCTGATTGCGTTCGAACGTCTCCTGCAGCTTCTTTTGCAACTCATTCAATTTCTGTTTGTCTGTCCACGAATTGCCCGCCACAATCTTTGGCACCTGTGGCACTGGCAGTGCAGTGAGGAAGAGCGCTGTACCAGTCGCTATTAACGCAATCATGCGTTCACCTATGGCCACCTGCGCACGCAAACCGAAAATTGCATTCATACCCTTGGCCTTCAGCTTGTTGATGAGCACACGATGCAGCTCATACTCCAAGAAGGGCAAACCATCCGATATCTCTTTGGCATTAAGTTCGGAACGTAGATCCTTTTTGGCGCGCACGACTTGTGCTTGCATGAAGCAACCACGACCGGTGACATGCAAATGCTCTGGGACCTCGAGTGTGGCCAAAAGCACATCTGGCACGCGTCCCTTGCGGCATATAGCGCATTTCTTCATTTTCACATTGAACGGCACCGACGCTAAATTATACGGCACATGGCAGACGCTACATGCGGAATTTTTCACTAAATTCATGCTGGGCGGTAGTGAACTTTTCTTGCTTGCCGAACCGTGTATGCCGGCGCCTAGTGAAGAAGATGTCGCCGACTCTTTCGCTGCAATTACTGCGGCGGCTTCATTAGCTAAGCCGTTACGCATTTCTTTGAGTGTTTCACGTTCCTCCAAGGAGGCAGACATCACGACGGCGATGCTGCTCACACCAATGCCTATGCCGACGGGCTTTATTGTGCCGGTAGTGATGATATCATTTTGGGACACCGAACGATTGTAGGCCATATTAATGACGGCGGCTGTGCCGGTAGCCGACAGAACGCAGACATCGTCACTGGAAAATTTAATTGTCAAAGAAAGATAGTCGGTTTTAGGAAATAAATATGTACATAAATAAGGAACATTCAAATGTACATACATATGTATGTATGTATGCCTACTCACGATATGGTAGTCGCTTCCGAGTAGCCCAAAACGACATTACAACCGAGTGCGCGCGCGTGTGAACGTATTTCCATGCGCAGTTCCGTCCACCAAGAGTCGCGCACTTCGGGCTCATCGGGATTGGGTACACGTTCCAGCAATTTCACCGAACGCGCTGCAACAGTGGCACCTAAATGCAAGATGAAGCCAGGTGGATATTTGGTCATGGTTAAGAAGGGATATTCCAGCAGGCCATCCATGCCATCGGTGTTGGCAGTTTTCGCACCCAAGGGCTGATTGAGGCGCATCAAAGCTGTAGCGGCTACCAAACGTTCACTGGCCACACATAAAGAGTTTCCTAATGAAATGAAATTGAAAACAATATTAGGGTAGGTAGGACATTTGAAAAAAAAAACAACATATATATATACATATATGTATGGGGTTTCAGGGAAACGCGTAAATGTCTCGTCACTGCGTAAACCTCGTAAATAACCAAATTTTTTATACAAAGTTAAGTAAGTTTACGAGGTTTACATGGTTACTAGGCATTTGCGCGTTTAGATGAATTGTCCTAGTATGTTATTACATACATACATAAATTTGCCAACAAATACCAGCAAATCTAAGTAAATGCGTGTGGATTAGTGTCAGTGTGCGTGTTTTTTAGTCACTGAAAACACTGATTAACACACATTTTTTGGAGCAGAAAATGATCTTACACCACTGACATACATACATATACATACAACGATATTTTTTATTTTGATGTGATGATTTCGATTTTGTCGATATGTACATATATATGTATGTATAGATTTAGGTATGAAGTTTATATGATTATTGTGAGCAGGGCGGGATGCCATTTGCTCCTCAAACCTGGCGGACTTTATGGCTCTAGCACCCTTCACAACAAAGTTGATTTTTTTAGGAGCATAGAACATTTTTGAATAGTTAGTAGCCAGTTCAAAGCAGACCTAGTTTGGCTCCCTGGTAATCGCAACTTCTCGGGGGACTATATACAGAGAAATTGTTAAAAGAGCCCACTATTCGGTAGTAAAACCCAGACCGGACATTTCGGGCATTTCGGGAATATCTAACAATAAAGAAGAACAATCAGGAAGAACGAAAACGAAAAGTGGATAGCAGAGCAATTTCTTTGCAAAAAAAAAAATGACTTTAAGGAAGACCAGGAATACAATATTAGGAACGGTTAAGACCAATTAACCATGCTGGTTAGTATTAACATAATCGGCCATTGGGCGTCAAGCTTTTCGCCAACATTTTAACCTCTTCCAAACCTTCAGCGGCATCAACGCATTTTTGTGCCATAAAACAGGAGCATCTATGTACATAGTACAACCAACACACTACTTTTAATCCGACCATCTTAAACCGGGGTCTTAGATCTATATTTTTTACCGCAAACATCTCAGAAAATTATTTGAAAACTTTCACTTAAATCAGCCAACTCGGTAGAAACAGACTAAGTAGTAGTACCTTCAGATTGTTTCCGATAACCTTTAACTGAATAGGTTAAATATATCTTTAGCCAACTACGATGATTGCAGAAATGGATATAGCTAAAAAATAACAAATCGTGTTAAACGGAATGTGAAAATTCTACAACAGCCAATGAAGCGGAATCCTTTATCACTTCTTCGGTGCCAAGGGTGGGCGCAGTGCTTTTAAAACTGCAGTTAGAGGAGAGCAACTCGAAATAATTTGTATGAATTAAGGAATCTTAAGCAACTAAGACTCCAATTCAAATCATTTGATTCGAATGGTTTCTATTTTCGAACGTGGGCTACTTATTTAATGTAGATACACATCTATTCAACATTTTTCGGTAAAGCTGATAGTAATCAAATGCTTCATGCGAGATGAATGAGCTCAGATCCTTATATTTTACGAAAATAGATAATTTGAACAAAGAAATCAGGATTTGCATTGTGCGCCGCTTTCATGCAGTCCGTAGTATCCGTCCAAAGGGAATATAGGCGCACGTTTGACGCCACTACTTCTAGCAGGTGGACCATCATGAGGCTCATGAATAATTTTGCCGAGAGCGGAACAGTCGCAGGAAGGCCTTATCATCGAGATCCCTCAGTTCAAGCGCAGAAAACTATTGCTGATGTAAACTTATTCCCATATAAAATTAAACTGAATGCAGCAGACTCGCTTGGAATTATGCCAGAAGTGCATTCAAATGGTGGAAAAGGACCAAACATATTGAACTGCATTTTTATGTCTGACCAGACGCATTTTGGATCTAAACGGAAATATTAAAAAACAAAAATTTGTCGAATTTGGAATGACTTTAACCCACAGTTACTCCATGAGAGAGAATTATATCCACTTCCTGTCGCAGTGCGGTGTGCAGTCTCATCAAGGTGCATTGTCAGGTCTTACTTTTTTGAGAAAACAGCCTTACTGTTACGGTAAATGCAGACCGTTTCTTACAAATATTGAAAGCATTTTTCTTTCCGGTACAAGGTAAAAAGAGACTTTCTTTAAACTCTGTGTGGTTTCAGCAGGATGGTGCAACTTGTCACATGACGCGGTCTTTTAAATTCCTCAATAAGCTGATTTCAACAATTTCGACATTCCACATGTACGTGCCAGCAGGAAAACCTACAAATTTTAACAATTCAAAGCTCTCCTCTAGGCAGTAATGAATAACCTTTTGATAAGATGTCGCACATGCATTAGCAAAATCTATCAAAGAAAATTGAATAAAAATGTTTTATTCCTGAAATGATTGTACCAGCGTGCTGGTGTCGTGTATGATGAAATTAGCTCTTTTTGCTTAAGTCGTCAAACAGTAAACATCGCGCGCCTCCATGAGCTCAATAGAAAAAGTATTAAAAGTTCACAAAATTGCAATTGAAAATTAAAAAAACCTATGTTATAACAAATGGGCAGGAAAATTAGCACACCTCGAATCCATTAATTTCAATCGTTTCCGCGCCTCACTAACCTAACACCATTAAAGCACGTCAAAAATCATTAAACTTTTGTTAAGGAACTATTTTGATTATTCCAGTAGAACTCTTAAAAAGGCGACCCCTAGGTTCAGAAGAAGAAAATTTTCGAGATTGTCTTATAGAACTACTTAAGACTTACATATAGGTGTACGGCGAACTTTTTTTTTTGTTTGCTTGTAAGGTGGCACAGTCTAATGTTCACACTATCTGGATTTTGGGCTCATTCAGTTTCACAACGAAAACAGCTGATTTCGTCTTAAGGAAATGGTTGTTGAAATCAATTTCATTTCGTTGAAATAAAAACCTAATTTTAAATTAATTTACCCCACGTCTCCACCTTCTACTAAATCTGTTTTAACATCTGTCAAATTTCTGTTTTAACTTTGTCCCGTTTTCTTACGTGGGCAACTTGCTCTTTTAACATTTCATTTTCAAAATGGCATGAAGCCAATCACGTACGTAGATGCGTACCCGCGCGGTAAAATGAAAACTGAGTTGCCAAACTACGAAATGACAGTTGATGTTAGGACAGCGACGGTAAGAAATTCGGCAATCATCTAATCGGACTTCATCTAACATTTCTGTCTTAACACGGCTTTTTTAAGAGAATCTGTAGAAGGTGAAGACGTGGGGTAAATTAACGAAAAATCTTTGTGTTTCAGTCCGGACACCTTATCCCAATCCAAAGCAAATCGAGCTGAAATTCCGTAATTTTGCGCTGTAACAACTGTTGCTAAATTAAGTAGTAGAAATGAGGTTATGTGTCTTTTAGTAATGCCTAGTTTGTACGAAATTAAGTAATTTACGCTATAATGTGAACATAGTTTAAAGAAACATTTAACCAAAATGCATTTTGTATTGTTTTTTTGAGAGAACAACGTTGTGACCAACGCGCTAATAGTTTTTTTATGATGTCTTGTAGCTGTATGCAAGTATGTACTCGTATATATGCATGAAATGAGTTTAAAAATGTACGCTCATGCTCTGTAATGAAGATATTTCACGTTTGTAAAAAATTAGCATGCCACATTCATACCACAGACAAGGTCACAAAAACAGTTCTATTTGCTTTAGTTTGTTAAATGGCGACCCAAAAGTAGACACACTTAAAGTGCGGGGTAAACTACTCAATACATTTTTTAATTATACTATTTTAGAATTGTTGGTGAGTTCAAATGATTTAATAGAAATGACTCAATAAAAATAAAAAATCATCACAATCTATCGTGGCTTTTAAAGCCCTATTCCCACGCCCATGACCAAACTCATCACATGACTATGGTCTTAACTGCGGCGTCTAAAACTATGACGCAAAACCTAGACAACTATCATTATTTTTCTTATGATCTACTGAGTACGTGACAACGACTAAACAATGCTTAGGTATATTCTGCGCCATAGTTTGAGACTAAACAATAGTGATGCGATGAGTTTTTTTTGTTTAAGGCGTGGGAAATGTTGTGGTGTGATCTACTTTTAGGCGCGCATTTTACAGGCAGTTGACGGCGTTTTTGATTCGAAGACACGTATACATGTTCAAAATATATTATAGCACGACAATGTTTCAGAAACTTACGAACACGACTATTCTTTTTTTAAGAACAACTGAGGTACTTACTACATTAACAATCAGAAATTGAAAAAAATTATATTAGTCATTGACCGAAAGCGTTAAAAAATTGTATGAATAAAAAATACTTTTTTTTTAAGTCGATTTTGTGTACAGAAACCAAGCCTATTTTCTACAAATTGTGTTAGGTTTTTTATTAGATTTAACTATTTAATAAGAGAAATACTGCGAGCCGAGCAACATTCATTAATGAGAGGAGAGCGAAGAAGATTATTAATTAAGAAAATAATGCGCCGTTAAACGAAATAGTTGAGTGACGAAAAATACTTATTTTACACATTTAAACATTATTTACGGTTAAAATTGAGCGAGCGTGTGGAAACAGAGAAATTACGAGAATTGTGGGATAAAACAAATTATTTTATGTAGTTCTGTACTTACTTTTGCGATGAAAAACTGTGGATGTGTACAGTTATTAGTTTTTTTGTGCGGATTGGATGAGAAGAGAATAAATTACAAGGGGTTATTTTGATGAAATCTTTTGTTGGATTTACGGAAAAATTTGAAAATCGCACAGAACAATTTTGGAGAATTTCTTCGTTAGAAAAACCCATTGACACAATATAAATGAATGGAGGCCTGTTGTGACAAGGTCGGCGTTGAGCTGGTGTGTCTTCTGAGTAAGCGGATTTTTATCTTGAAATAAGTATTTTACAAGTGTCAATAAAAATGAGAGAGAGAGAGAGATTATTGAGTACCTAGCGAACGACAGTTACATGCTGCAACGTTACTGTTCTGAGAAGTCTATCAATTTTAGCATAATTAAGGTCCTGTCAAAAGACATATAAAACTTGCAGTCATAAAGACCTTGCAGTAGAGGCCTTGCTCAATATCGATGTGAAAATAATGAAATAACTTGATAGGCTTGGATTTGAAACCTCGCCTCTTTATATTCTTGCTTGGGGGCAGGAGACAGCGAACATGTTCACTGGTGGAAGGATCAAAGAGTTGACCGTCGGGGTCTTCTGGCACGAGCTCTCCATCGACATCAAGTCAAGTCTTCCAGACTGCAGTTGTCGCCTTAGGTTGGGATTTTAAAAAGTCAACAGCCCGATAGGAAATCACATGGTATGAGTATAAATCACATCTGATTCTTGATGCCGCAATTGCCTAGAGGATGATGGAGACCTCCATGCTCAGAGCCCTTTATAAAAGATTTTGAAACAGGTTTAATTATAAGGAGCAGGCAGACTTAGTTTTTTTTATTTCTGGCGGCATAGTTTTTCGAAGGAGTCGACAATCAAACGCTGAATGGATTCGTAAAAAATTGCAATGATTTGAGGACACACATTAACAGGTTGGGGAAAAAGCTTACCTCTGGGTACCAAAATACATAGATTATTTGGTCGCCGAGTTAACTCCTTAATAGAAGCTAATTGCAACAATCCTTTGAGTTGCTTGGAAAATCATTGTCATTTGGACCAAGGAAAAGTAATTTAGGCTTTGAATGCAATAAACAACTAAAGATAAGATCGAGAAATAGAGCCATGGACCGTAAAAAGCTGTTTAAAAAGCGAAAATTGCTTCTACGAAGCTGAGCAGGAATAAAGTGTTGCCAGATGATATTTTCAAAAAAGTTTGAATGAATTCCCAGGGAAAAATTGTACTTTCAACAAAAATAAAAAAAACTGTTACCTTCAAAAACGAAGGAATTTTTGGAATTATTGGAATGCAGTTGACCGTTTTTTAGTGAAAAGGGGAAACGTAGCACCTCCATCCAAATCTAAAATTTTGGCAAAACTGTAATTTTACTAGGAGGTAATATAAAAAAAACTGTAAGCTTGACTGATTTACAGTTAAAACTGAGAATATGGCAACATTGGTCGCTAAAAAAAAAACAATCCCTGCTGGTAAAATAAATTTTTTTAAGAAATTTTTGTTTGGACTGTCGACTCTGTTATTCCTTTTAGGCTTCCAACAGTTCATTTCATATATTTTATTCGGTGTCAAGTCGGGTGGCGAATCAGTTAATTTATGAAAACCGTAATGCAAAAAAAAAAACTTCAAACTAGTATGGTATCTAAGGCGGTTTCGGTTAGATTTATTGTCGGTTTATTCGCGCGACATCGGTTTGACAGTGAAATGCCTACATTTGGTTTGTTGAGGTTTCGGGAAGCCACTTAACCAATGTACACAGATACATTGTAAGCGATGTCTCGCGAATTCGCGCGAATAAAATTCGCTCTTACCGAAACCGCAGTCTAATGCCGAATTTCCACTAGACATTGTAATGACAAAAAATTGTATGCCATTTAAAAAAATGTCATGGCCATTTTTTCACATAATGACACGAAAATTTCTTAATGCCCAACTTTGTCATTTGTCATTTTTGCCATTTAATGCCTAGTGGAAACCGCAGCCTAAGTCAGTGAAAACAGGATTATTTTCTTTTGTATATATTTAAATATACTTCGTACTTTTAAAATTTGCCCTATTTTCGAAGTCTCATAATTTTATGGTTTTAGTATATCATAGCATCACTAAAAATAGAAAAAAAACCAAAAAAAAATACGTATGGATATTTACAACCAGACGCACTTCGCTCATTTTTACACTCAGCACACATAAACATCGCTTATATAAAAATCGCTCTCACCTTTTGGTGTTATGCTCAAATCTGAATCCGATGATCGCCTGCACATCTCCGTCGGCACCTCCTTTGACGCGACCGCTGCCGAATTCGTCACTGCTGTTGGCGCGGCCCCATCCGCTGCTACCGCCGCCGTCGGCGGCACTGGCGCAGTACCCGCTGCAACTGCTGGCGGTATTGTTGTGACTGTGCCTGCGCTGCTGCTGGGGACTTGTGTCGTCGTCGTCGTCGTCTCTCCCCCATTCAATGCCAACTTCGATGGACTGGATGAAAGTTTGGCGCAACCGCTGCTGCCGCCGCCACCACCGCTGTTGCTACCGCCCGAAATAAGCGCTGCTGATGATGAAGCGCTAGCACTCGGCATGGACGCCGCTGCGGCGACAATAGCTGCCTGTGCCGGTGATGCGAAGCGTTTCAAGCTGGGACTGTCTGTGATGCCGGAAGATGCGGCGGCAGCAGCCGCTACCAAGGCGCTGTTAGATGCCACCGCTGCTGCTGCTGCGTTAATCTCGTTCAATGACCTATGATGATGCGGATGATGTTCGCGTGGGCGGTGATGACGATTTTTGGTGCAAAGTAGCGGTGTAGATGGCGATGTGGTAGACACAGGCACGGATACGAGCGTTGGCGTAGGCGATGACGGCAATGGTAATGGCAATGGCAATGGTGGTGGCGCAAGCAAGTGTGAATTTAGATTATTACTATTGTGATTAGTAGACTTTTGAATTGCACTTAAATAATTGGGGGAATTGGGGACATCACTGGGAGGACTAGGGGAGCGCTGTGGACTACTAATACTACGACGATAAATATTGCCTACTGCGTACTTTCTGCTAGTTACTGGGGTATTAGCAATAACATTTAGAACGCCAGTCGGCGCAGCACTAACTGTGGCTACGCTAATTGTGCTACCACCTAAGATCGGGGTGGGTATATCATTGGTCTCTGAGGCGCTACTATCGTCCAACTCTGTCGAGACATCTTCTTCTATAAAGGGAATCTTCAAATCGGTTTCCGAGGGTGTGGGAGTGGAGGGACAAATTTTAAATACAGGGCATTTGTTATCGGCAAATGATTTAATGGTGACTGGCAAATAAGCAGAGCTTGCGTCGGAATCCGAAACATAGCCATAGGCAGAGGCATTAGTAGCGTACATATCATCTTTGGTGGTGGTTAAATCGAACTCTTGAGCATTAATGGCATTGCTGGCGGCGCTACGTCTGAGATTGATGAGCGAGCGTGAATGCGAAATGTGTGTGGTTGGTGGTGTAGCGCACATATCGCCATCCCAATTAAGACAAATCTCCGGCTGTGAGGAATAATATGCTTTACTATCTTCTGATGGCGGTTGGAGTAGCAGAGATTGTGGTGGTGGTATTGAGCGACGTTGTTGCTGTGGTGTTGGTGTTGGCGTCGGCGGATTTTCGATTTTCTTTGGCTTTGGGTGTATAAAATCCTGGAAAAGAGTCAACATGCAAGTGAGCAAAATTTTTCTAGAAATTTGAGTCGAGTGCATTCGGTCGAAGCGTACACTCAATTCAACGATGGGCAAAAGATTAACGTAGTGCAAGTGGAAGCATACAAGAGAAATTTGAAAGGAAAATTTCCTGAAAGTTTTAAACTCCCCAAATGCTCATAAAGTTAAGAATAAGACAGAAAAAAAGCAGACAAAAACTGCTTACGAAAGACCGATAGAATGAACTATATTTTCATAAATAATAAATGAAAAAAATTTCCATGAAAACAATTGTGAATATTACATTAGAACAAGGTGTACACTTACATTTGACACATACTGTATATTCAAAGTGATCTATCTGCATTTTTCACAAAAGTAATATTCTGATATAAAAAATCCATCTTTGATTTAATTTGCATTGATGATTTTAGTGCCGACCTTGTATATCGCTTGTCAGAAGAATTAACTATTGAAATTCAAAATTAAAATTTCGACCGGTGATGACAGTTAAGACTCAAATAGGTTCTAATTTCAGAATGTAGTTTTTTTTATAAACGGCAGATGAGTCGCATTGAATATAACCCCCCGAACTACAGATTTTCTGCTGAGTTAAACAAGAAGCGGTTACAAATTTCCTGCTGGGTTAACGCAAATTTTACCCATACCGAGAGCTGAGATGTTTACTCATCAAAAACGAATCTTGTACTCTACGTCGAGTTCGAAGGCTTGAATTTGAAGCCTACTTGTCAAGAAACACGCGGCCGCTTGAACTTACGACAGGAGAAGAAGAATAAGAATAAGGAATGATCGGTTTTGTGGCCAATCTATTTTTTTTTTAATTTCAAGCTTTGAATTTAAACGTTTGGCATCTGCAGAGCTAAGTTTAATAAAGCACGAATACTTTGGGAATTTTCAAGCTTTTGGGAAAGTTTCCCTTGTTTCTCCATAATAATTCGTATGCGATTCCACCCGCACTTCAGATAACCGAACTGCCCCTGCACTCTCACCGCACCTGCACATGTTGCGACAATGTTTTCAGGTCGCGCAGCAATGAACGCCGCGGTGTTAGATCTGTCAAACTGTCGTCGTTGCACTCGAATTCGCTGGGTTGTATCCACTTGGCATCCATCGCTTCGGTGTCTTTGCAAATTTTCAAATATTTCTGCATTTTCACAAGTTCCACCTCCTCTTCGCGTGCAATTCCACGCGCCAACTCCGCCTCTGAACCAGAGCTATCGGAATTGCTCAACGACAGCGTGTTCGTTGAGCCCGAACGAATTGTGCCTGTGTCGTGTGCGCACATCATCAGCTGCTGCCGATGTGGCTCGTGTTGTGAGAATTCACCAAACGGATGACAGCCGCCAATGGCGCCGACCACATCCACACAGCTGCTGCTATCGCTACGCCCACAGCTACCACTCGCCAGCGATGGTGTATTATAGCGTACGTCTATGTTATTGTTGTTGTAGTAGAAACGCGCTGCCTTGCCGTGCGCGCGTTGAAGTTCGAGTAGTGCGTCCAATTGCGTCACATCATCGGGACAGATGTTCGGGGAGGAGCGTGTGCTGTTCGAATATTCAGATATTGATGCAACTATTGGCGCGCCGGGCTTGTGGGCAGCGTTGCCGCCGCCGCCGCCGCCGCTGCCGGTCTCAACGCTGCCTCTTACCGACGAATCTGCACTGACCGAACGTAGAATTGCATGATGGGCATAAGCGCCGCTGCTGCGCTTTACAGTGGATTGACGCTGATGCAAAGCTGATTTTGCACCAACGCTGCTGGCACCAACAGCACCAAGCACTTTGTGTTTGGCTTTGAAACTCTGACGTCTGCGCAAATCGTAAGCGGTGCCAGTGGAACTACGTCCCGATGAACCAGAGGTTGTGGCATCATCTTTGATCAGTGCGCCACTGATGCAGAGGCTGCTTAGTGAACGCGAAGTGCTGCTGGGTGATTTTGAATCGACGCTATCGGCGAATTTGCGCATAAATGCGTTATATTTCTCATTGAGCATATTTCGTGAGGTGTGTGTGAAGCGCTTCACATGATGACGCAACTTTTTTGGTGGCTTCTCGCCGCGCTGATCCTCCTGACGCATTAGATCGTGCATGATTTCGTTGTCCTCCATGACGCCCCTGTTGGTGTGCTGCAAATCGAAGAGTATCGATGAGCGTGACTTGTGAATTTGTAGTTCACAAGGACGTGGCTGTTCGGCGAGATTGATGTGCGAACCTGTCAGAAATTCTATGTACTTCATTGTACGCCTGACGCCAGCCAGTAACAACAACAACAACAACGTGGCAAAATTCGGATAAGTTTTGATGACAGAGTTTGATTAAGGACAGTGGGTGACGCGCGATTGGTTATACATAGATTGGGGTTTTTTTTTTTTATTTGCCAAAACGCAAAGCAACGAGCAACAACAACAAACGAAACGAGCGAGCGAGATAATTAATATGTACATATGTTTGTATGTACGTAAGTGTACAAAACGCATTTACATAAATGGATTATGCGTACGAAACGAACAGGCAAATATGCGAGCCATGTGGGGTTAAAGGTAATACAACAA